CATCACCACTTCTTTGCCCTCTTCGATGAAAAAACACTTTCGTCTTCGAATGGATTCTTGACAGTTTGTGACTTTCTTTTTCCTGTTTTTGTTGTGTTTTTTTTCTGTGTTCTAGATTTAGATGTTACTCCTCTGCGTGATCCCTTGGAACTGACAGTTTTTCCTCGTTTCCTGCCTTTTATAGACACCGGTACATGAGGTACATTTTCCTTCATGGCGTCATTCATTTCGGATTTTGCTCTGTCTTCGACAGCGGCCACGGATGTCACGTGTTTTCCTACCACAGTCTTGCTGTCCTGTTCGTGAGACACGTGAGGGTTAACAGGTATCATGTATGGCTTCTTGACATACATTCCTGCGATACCTCCTCCCGTTTGGTGACCTCTGTATCGTGTAGGATGAAATTTCCCATCCATCATATTCTTATAAAAGGATTTCCATACACCTGGATCTGACACATAACGTGAACCTATCATGTTCTTTAGTGAAACGGTAGTCTCTTCACGAGTAACGTCACCGTCACCTCTCCCTTTAGAAATGATGCTGGTTCGTTGTCTCCGTCCCTTATATACACGTGTACGTCGTGAAATTGTCCGATTCTTAAAGGTACATCATAGGGTTTGTTAAAAATAATATTTCCGTCCTTTTTGTGATATACCCTTCTAAGGAGAGGTATATATTGCCCTCCGACGACTGTGTCGTCGCATAGATCACAACAAACGTACAGTTCTGTGGGAGTTCTGATCTTACCGTCTCGTACCGTAATTTCCGTCAAGGACACCACCCAGTACCCTATGAGACATAGAGGTCTCGGCAACGTTACCCTAAAATCGTAGGGTTCGTTCTTACTATGGATCTTAGCACTGTCCGTTGACCTCAGAACCAGTCTGACTGTCATCCTGTCTTAAAGTGAATGAAGTCTGTCTAAACCCTCCCTATTTATACGTCTTCAAGATCTTTCTTCTTCACCCATGAGTTGAACTTCTTAGGCCAGTGCAACCAAGACACAAGCACTTCCGTTTCGCCATTCCGTTTCCGCTCTTTAATGATTTTGTCTATTTTCCAAGTCGTGTTTTCGTCTACGTTCACTCTTTGCAATTCCTGACTGTAAAATGTGCTCGAAATGAGTTCTCCGCCGAAATCTTCCAACCTATACAGAGGTAAATTTTGTCTCTTAAAGCGACTCCTAACGACGAACACTTCTCCCGTCCACTTTTGGTCGTATTCCCTCTGAAATACGTGTCTGAAATAAGTTATTCTGACGCGATCACCCACTTTGTACTTATAGAAAGGTTTTTCTCGTTTCTTCTTTGTTTTGCTCTCTTTTTTGTGTTCCTTCGGTTTCGATTTCGGTTTGGTTCGCGCCAAGTAGGCCTCAAACGCACTTCCTCTTCGTTCTTTTTATTGATGTTCGATGGCGCCACATTGCCTAGAGGTCTAGATGGAGTATCATTGATGCTTTTTGTGAGCGATTGCAGATGTGACAGGTAATCATAACTCTGATTGTTCATGAACATCCTGTACATCCTATTCTTAATATTCTGGATGTTTCTTTCACTGTAATTTGATTTCTTTTCATTGCGGGTGTAAATCACTTTCACCTGCACACTCCGTAGATAGTCTTGTACCTTTTTTGCTGAAAATTCTCCGTCAGAATCAAAGCGTATCAACGTTGGTTTTCTTCCTTGGGTAAAAATCGATTTCAGTCCTTGCACCACGGATGAACCTGTTTTCTGTTTTAAAGGTGACGTGAAAACGAATCTAGAGAAAACATTTTGAAGTACCAAAATGTACTGTATTCCTTTGTTGTATTTGGCTATATTCTTTACGTCCATCAAATCACCGTCCCATTGGATGTCTATCCCCGAGACTACTACGTGATTTCTTTTGAACTTCCTCTGAACTCTCTTCTGAATTAAATACGCTTCTTTGTTGGACAAATACTGTTTTATCCTTGGAAGTCCTATCTTATATTTCCCTTCCTTCCTAACAACTCTATGTAACTTTTCTGGCCCTGCAAATGCAGCAGGATGACCCGGATTAGTCCAAAGCTCATCGAGGTATTGTTTCTCCTCTGATGACAACATCCTAAAATGACATTAAAGGGAAAATACACTTGTTTATAACTTAATTGTTCCTTCTACCAACCGAAGCGGTGACTGTAGACCTCTGTGCTATTCTTGACTGATCTCATTTCGCATTTCGAATGGCATTGTTGACATGAGCAAGTATATGTTGCAAATAGTTCCACTGTCTGAGGTTTAAGGCGATACCTCGAATGGTGGCCTTTCCAGCAATGAATTGTCTGATGTCGACTAGTACACGTCCTTGGTACCTACATACAGACAAACAAAATCCATTAGGTAGTGAAAACTGTTCCAAACTGCTACACAATGTGCCATTGACTAGAGGTGATGTTGAATCTTCACAGTTTGATATATTTGACACAATCTTAACACAATCTGAGACATTCATCTTGCCTTCTTTTGATGCCAAACTTTCGGTTATAACCAGAGATGTTGTTACTAATGCAATCAGAGCGATTACTCCGACGTTTTTAATGATGCGAATGTGCAGCCCATGTCTCTCATAAAGGGAATTGAGACTAGATGTTATGCTTGGTACCGGTGGTTCCATATCTGGTACAACAAAGTGTTCCATTTTAACCGATGCTTATCCTTCCGTGTCGGAAGCAAAAAATGATGTTAACGAGATCGTTTACCCCTTTTTATGGCTTTCTTCCAAGAGCAAAATATTAACTTAAAAAAAAACAAAAAACAAAAAACAAAAAAAACAAAAAAACAAAAACAAAAAACACACAAAGACATAATCAGATTTTGTATTTCCTACTTTGTGATTATCACAAAATGTAAGAGGGATACATTTAGGAGGTGTTACAAAACCAATTTACAAATGCATTTACTGTCTCCCTCGTATCAGACATGTTTAACATAAAGCCTCTTTTTGACTTCCTTCGAGGCTCCAGCAAAGAAAATTTGTGTTCACACTCTTGTGTTTCCTATTTAAATTTTCAAAATTGGCAAACTGGGTGATCAACTTCTCGAGTTCTGCTTCAGTTATGTCCTTTGGTTCCTTAGCTGTTTTTTCCCTTCGTCATTCATCAAGAGAACACCCCATAAGTAGATGACCCCATATCTGGAATGACCCTATAAATGGATGACCCCATATCTGGAATGACCCCATATCTGGATGACCCCATAAATATGACCCATATCTGGATGACCCTATATCTGGAATGACCCCATAAATATGACCCTATACATGACCCCATACATCTATATATGCTGCTCACAGAATCGTCATCAAATATCTGGAAAAGCATCTTTAAAAAGAGATAGGTACAGATTGAATGATAGAATCGACATCACATATCTGTGAAATCTGTCTTTATCAAAGTAAGAAACTGGATAGATGATAGAATCGTCATCAAATATTTGTTAAATTTGTCTTTAACAAAGATAGAAACTTAATAGGTGATAGAATCGTCATCGAACATTTGTGGAATTCTTTCTTTACCAAAGTTAAAAACTGAAAAGATGATAGATTGGTCATCAAATATTTGATAAGATGCATCTTCCTCACATATAGAAACTGAATAGATGTTCCAAACGTCATGAAATATTTGAGAAATCTGTCTTTATCAAAGATAGAAACTGAATAGATCACAAAATCGTCATCAAATATCTGGAAAAGCATCTTTAAAAAGAGATAGGTACAGATTGAATGATAGAATCGACATCACATATCTGTGAAATGTGTCTTTATCAAAGACAGAAACTGAATTGATGATGGAATCGTCATCAAATACCTGATGAAATGTGTCTTTATCAAAGATAGAAACTGAATAGATCACAAAATCGTCATCAAATATCTGGAAAAGCATCTTTAAAAAGAGATAGGTACAGATTGAATGATAGAATCGTCATCAAATATTTGTTAAATTTGTCTTTAACATAGACAGAAGCTTAATAGATGATAGATTCGTCATCAAATATCTGATAAGATGCATCCTCCTCACATATAGAAACTGAATAGATGTTCGAAACGTCATGAAATATTTGTGAAATCTGTCTTTATCAAAGATAGAATCTGAATAGATCACAGAATCGTCAGTCACCAGATATCCGTCAAATGTATCTGCACCAAAGTTAGAAACTGAACAGATGTTAGATTCGTCAAGATCTGGAAAAGCATATTTAAAAAGAGAAAGGAACAGATTGAATGATAGAATCGACATCACATATATGTGAAATCTGTCTTTATCAAAGGTAGAAACTAAATAGATGATTGAAACGTCATCAAATATCCGTGAAATCTGTCTTTATCAACAATAAAAACTCAATACATTATTAAATCGCATCAAACATTTGTAAAATCTGTCTTTACCAAAGATAGACACTGAATAGATGATAGACTCGACATCAGATATCTGGAAAAACATCTTTAAAACAAATAGGAACAGATTCAATAATAGAGTTGACATCACATATCTGTGAAATCTGTCTTTTTCAAAGAGAGAAACTGAATAGATGATAGAATCGTCATAAAATACATCTGTGAAATGTATCTTTATCAACTATAGAAACTGAATAGATCACAGAATCGTCAGAAATCAGATATCCGTCAAATGTATCTACACCAATATCGTCATCTCATATCTGTGAAACGATTTGAGGTAAACCGAGTCTAAATGTTTGGGGCGATACCGACTTTAAATGTTTGAGGCGATATGAATCAAATCTAAACAGACCTAGGCCATTTTCATTAACTGTATTTCCAAGTGAAATATGGCTATTCGACATTGAAAAAAGGGGAATAGAAAAAATGAACTTCATTTATATATATATATATATATATTTAATTGATTTGGTCCATTGTGTGCGGTCTTTGCTCGTGTCATGGTGGTGCGATATGTCGTCCGGATCCGTTCCTGTCCGTTTCAGTAATTACTAAATACGTAACAGAACAAGATGGCGTCGGCTGAATCGTTTGCTTGCAAGCGTGTTGGTGGAAAGTCGAACATTGAAATTGTATGCAAAAAAATCACGTAATGATTCTTATGTTAGACCTGGTGTTATGAGTTACGACAGTGATGATGATAGAGTATTTGTTGAATTTCCAAAATCGCTTGTTAACGCACTCAACATTGGGTTAGATAGCCTTATGGACGAAACAAACTGGATGGGATATATATCGCTAACGCCTCTCAAGATTTTAAACTCAAATGCTGCGGATTGCCATGAAGGATTTCCATTTTCTAAAGCATATTGTTGTACAGAAAAATATTCCACTCAGTATTCGTTTGGATCCGTTTTCCGGACAGGCATATCGATGCTGATCGAGTTCATGCTTCATCGGACAGTGCCAGACAACAAGCAGGAGAAATTTGTTCTGAGCAAACTTTTGCATTACTTGTTCGATTACCTGGACACAGGTAATACATGTACATATATCATGCACTAACGGAATGTGATTTGATAATTCACGTTCATTAAAAATGTATGAGTTGTTTTTTTAAAATACATAATGTAATTTACTTGGAAAACTGCCTCTCCCCCCTTCCGCCCACTCCTATTCACCTGTTCACGGAATAGGATACAAGAGACAAGAAAGTTTATTGTTTGTCGTATAAAGTATAACATGAAACATTAGCCTAGAAGAGCTATTATTATGACAAACATATAAAAATATCACAGAAATTGTAAGAACATAAACTATAGATTGAACAACTTGAAAGTACTTGAAATGTATCTGCTGTGTGTTACTTATAAATTATCAGAAATATACCTGTTGTGTTTATATTCAACATATTTAGAAATGTATACAAGTGCATTATACAATACTGCTGATATATAATGAACTGATCCCATCTCCATACACTCTTAAGTCTATTACAAATGAATTTGTTGACATGAGCCAGTGAATAAAAAAGGATTATTGTCAGCAAATACATTAACTGTATTATTGAAATCCATACAAGCATACAAGAGTTCAGCTGGTACTCTGTAGTGTCTACAGACGAATGGAGGATGGTCGGACAGACATACTACTGCCCGTATAACCTCCCAAGTTCATTGGGGTGGGGGGGGGGGGGGGGGGGGGCGTGGGGGGTTATAATTATGTTACAGGAGTGAAAAAATGCCGGCCAGTCTGCGGATTGAACCCAGCCACTCCAGACACATGCTCTATACCTTCTGAGCTAACTCACTTGCGGATGATCAGCCCAGTCCAGTTCCACTACAATTACCTATTACTGAAGATGTTTAACAGAACTTATAATTAAAGGCTGTGGATTTTCCAACCCATTGCAACAATTTTTTTTTTAATCATACACAAAAATGAAAACATTTTTGTGCAAAACCGCTGCAAGAACATATGTACATGTGGTGAGCGATGATTTTCACAATAAATTACGATATACTGATATAGCAATTTTTTTTCAAACATGAACGGTCTATACGATTCAATATTCATTTTGGACAATGCACACTGCAACAAAGGTGCCTAATTGGCTCCTACTTGTATTTAAGCAGTGGATTTGTGCCCCCTGAGGCTATAGAGGCAGGCCAATAGGGCTAAATTTAGTAAATTCTTTAAATACCTACTTGTTCTTAAAACGACAGGATAATTTACTAGAACTGGGTTTTAAGCATACTCTGTTGTGAAGGGAAATAAATTCTCCATGATGACTGGCATAGGTCTACATCTGGAGGGGCAGGGTCCAAGAGGGATTTAAGTAAATCCCAAAGGACTTATGAATCCCCAATCAAGAACCATATATGCCTTAACTGGCTATCAAATAATGTGAACACATACAAGCATATACCTACATGTATGTTAAAAATTGACTGTTGGGTTTGGTCTCTATCCTTTGCAGAAATTTAATTTTTGAGCCATATATCTTTGAAATTTTTGAGATTCTGAACTTACTATTAACAATTCAGGCTGTCTTAACCTCTTATTCATATCAACTCCACTATATTTCAGATGCTGAAATTATGAAAAACATGGAAATGTATACAGAGACAGAACTGACAGCAGTTATTGCAAATCATCTGTTTGGCAAGTTGTCTACATCTTCATGTTTTACCATTGACAAGCAGTGCAAAGGCAAAGGTAGAGGACAAGGTGGAAGAGGCAGTAAGAAAACAAGTCCTTTATGCCCTTGTGAAAAGAATGATTGTGTACTGTCAGGAGATTTTGGAGATACAAGTATAGGTACGTTATCATGCAAAACAAACAGTTGAATGTTTCCAGCTGACACATCATTGTTGGCTTACATCCATCACAGTGTTTTTACGCCCACCAGCTTATAGTATTGTGCCAGAAAAAAGTGCTTGTGTAACGGATAACGGGAAAATTACGGATTAATTTGACTTCATCTTTGGAATATGTTGTCGCAAGGGGTTTAGACAGACACCTATTGATTTACAGTGCTGTATGATATGAGGTTGATTTTTAATTAATTTATTTTGGACAACCCTCTTCTTAAACCTCTTTGTATATATATATATATATAAAAGGCTACACCGATGTTGAAATAGATGTGCTAAAAATAGTTCCACGTAGCCCTACACACATTTGTCGTCTGCTAGGCTTGCCTACATGTACCTAATGGTGTCTAACACGTGGTTTAAACCAGGGACTGTTGAGATAGTATTGATACATAGGTATAACTATAACAAAATGCATTATATACACTATGTGTTGTTATCTGAAGGTTAAAGATCTGAATTTCCTGTCCTGATTGTAACTGTGCTAAATTATATATATAGATCTACAGTCACATTTTTATTTTTCAAATCACCTTGCGTCTGTGGTCCGTCCGTCCGTGGTCCTGCCGTCCGTCTGTCATCCGTCCATCCGTAAATAATTCTTGTTACCGCTATTTCTGGGAAAGTACTTGATGGATCTTTTTCAAATTTTATATGCAAGTTCCCCTTGGTCCCTAATTGTGCATTTTACCTTTTTTGGGCTGATCCAAAATCAAGATGACTGACAGGCAGCCATCTTGGATTTTGAGAGTAAAACCTTGTTACCGCTATTTCAGAGGAAGTACTGGATGGATCCTTCTGATATTTCATAGGTATTTGTTTCCCTTGGTCTCTAGTTGAGCATGGTACCTTTTTTGGTCTGATTTGAAATCCAGGTGGCCCACAGGCACCCATCTTGGATGTCGACAGTAATACAGTAGTTTGTTATCGTCTTCCATATTCTATCATATTGATTCAAGACCATGTCCATTATCCACCTATGACTGACTGCTATCTGATAATACTTTGGGATCTTTTTCAAATGATATTTGCCAATAGGTGCTTAATAAAGATATCTTGTGTCATCATTGAGTACATTCAATGAAGACTAGTTCATGAACATTACAACACCTGCAGCAAACAAAAAAAAACAAAAAAAACCCAAATCTTCAAGAACTGAAAACAGATCCTCAAATGGTGGTTTGTAATCAGTTTTTGGACAACAACAGACTTTTTAATTACGCGGTTGTAACAGTGAGAGACTTGATATCTCTGTTATTTATTCTGAACAAGAAATCTCAGGTTATACATCATTTATTGCAATAAAAATAGTATTTATAGCTATAGGGATAGAACTGATATATGTAATTTAATTGTATATTAAGGTACATGTACACACCTTATTCCCCATACTAGGGCCAAAGGGCAGGGTTAGACTGTATTCCAGATTGAAGTTTAGAGTAAAAGTAATCTTTTAACCTGTCCATTTTCAATAGTTGGATGGAATTTTATATAAACTAGATTACCATAACTATTTTATCTAAATTGCCTAAACAATTGCCTTTAACAGCACCATACATGCTGTTTTCCGTCTGTAGAAAATAGGTGTCTTTTCTAGAAAGATATAGTGACTTCAGTTTTTCTAATCATTTTGGACATAACATAACCATGCTTTCCATAGTCCAGCTATTTGTTACTAAGTAATCTCTTAGTACCCAAACATGTAAGCTTTAGTTTGATGCTAGAGCACCTGGTCTGCGAGTCACACCAGGGAAAACAATATCATTAATGAGATAGAGGTCAACAAAGGCCTGGGACTGAAGTAGTGTCTCCAGCACCAATTAAATTTGTCGTTTTCCCCTACCAACATCTTATATCTAATAAAAATGGGTTGTTGACAAGTGTGTTATTGAATTTTAATTACAGGAATGAAATATGGTATTGATAAATGAGATTATATCTGGCAAATATTACGTTTACATTTTGGTTGAATATGGGAAATGTGAACAAATTTTGGAAAGTTTAAAGCAATTCATTTAGCATTGTTGCCATTACCGTATATTGATTGGTTGTGTTAACGTTATTTGTCAAAGTATTGGTGATCTATATATTGACCTCTGACACAACTTTCATTACTTGTGAAGTTGAGATATGTGCAAATGAAAAGTATGCCACATTGACAAGCATTGATGACCGATTTTACCCTTGACCTTTGATGACCTATATATTGACCTTTGACACAACTTTCATTACTCGTGATATGTGCAAATGAAAAGTATGTTACATTGACAAGCATTGATGACCGATTTAATCGGTGACCTTTTGTGACCTATATATTGACCTATGACATAACTTGCCTTACTTGTGATATGTGCAAATGAAAAGTATGTCACATTGACAAGCATTAATGACCAATTTGACCCGTGACCTTTGGTGACCTGTATATTGACTTTTGACATAACTTTCCTTAGTTCTATTATATCATAATTAAATCAAGATATGTCAAAGGTCAACATAAAGGTCACCAAAGGTTACAGGTCAAATCGGTCATCGATATTTGTACAAAACCAATTGATTCTTCAGATTCTTAATTATATATGACCTGATGACGGCCCAATTTGGGACTTCAATACCTTTGACACATAGTCAGATAGCTTCAGCGACTGTGTTGCGATGTGATTATGAGGATCATTCTATCACAGTTGAGCTGACAACGGTGGCAGACATTACAAACTTAGTACGTGATGCCCACTGCCCTTCACTAAAGTTCAGAACCTGCCCATAGGAGTATACTGATTTTTTCATTATTCGCTCGAAAGACTGAATCACATGATTCTGACATCATCTCAATTGAACCCTGAGTAGAAGTTCATTTCTTATTTGGTTATGCCCCCTTTTGCATTTTTGATGGAATTTATATCCAATTTCTCTTTCAACTGGAAAATTCATTTAATTTCCAGTTACTGTATAGCACTTTAAATTCGCAGGGTCAATATTTTGCATTTTCGTTAACGGGAACATATTAGCGGGGGCTTAATTTCGCTGTGCACCCGTTTCCTATATTCATTTCATGGATACCTTAGCAACAATATAATTTTATAACAGCATCATTTCCATTTACTGTGCAAGGTTTTTAGTCAGAGTGAATCAGTTTTGAAAACTTCACAGTCAAAGTGTGTATGTGTATGCTTACACTGCCCCGGCCGTCGTCATGTACCGGTGAATTCACACTCAAAAGAATTCAAAGAACACTTGACACTTACTCAATAAAGAGCTCTGTATCTTGGGTATTAACTACTTTGGTTAATTGTTTCATTCATTTATTAATTTAATTAGGCAGAGGAGGCAGTTACATGTGTTCACCAGTAAAAACTTTAGACCAGTATTTACCTCAGGTTGGGATTGTTAGTTCCACTTGAGTGAGCTCTGGACAGCCACTCAATACATGTCTGTTTAAGAAAGTATCCACCCTTCAGCATTTTGACGCCTCTTGACATGTCTGTTTTTTGTTTTCTCTGCATCTATTTTTAGAACTACATGTATGTAACAGGCAAATATTAAATGCAAACCTACTGGAAGTAGTCTTGTCATGGTTTCAAGTGGTCTTTCAGGATTGAAAATGCCATCTATTTGCCGCCATTTCTTTGCGGGGTTATATAAACAACTTAAAAATAAAGGTCAAAGGGACCTGTTTTTGTAAGCTTGTAAATTGAATGGACATATTATCATATGGCATTGTCCATCCTTTGAGTTATAGTCCTTGTCTGCTTCATGAAATTCTGTTTGTATGAATATCTCCTACAGTTTTCAACCAATTTCTTTCAAACTTAAGCTTGGTAGGCTTTATCACCATGACATGAAGTTGTGTTTTCCTGAATCACACTTTGATTCAACATTATTTAGAATAGTAATGCCCCTTGTCTATTTCATATTATTAAATTTGTCTGAAGATCTCCAACTTACAACTTTCAAGCCATTTCTAAATGTCATTGCACTGATAAATGTTTTGTTAAGACATGATGAAGCACAGTTGATCAAACTTTAAGGAGAGGTGAGCTGATCAAACATCTGCACACTAATGTCAATGGGAAAAGGTCGAAGTCAAATTTCTCTGACACTTCATTGGGTTATCCTGCAGTTGCAAGGGAAAAGGTAACTCTGTCTCACACAGGGTAGGGAAAGACAGCTCACATGCGCTATGACGTCATAATAATCGTCGTGGATGTGACGTCATTGCTTTTTGGGAATTGGAAATCCTCTTCTGAATGGTTTGGCGCAAGAATAAAATCAACGTTTTTTTTAAGTATAGTTGATTTATTTGTAAGTATGGGAGAAAAATAATTAAACATAGGTTCATGCCGTGGACAGAGATATCTCAACCCTCGTGTTGGACATCCAAACTCTTACACTCGGGTTGAAATATCTCTGTCCATGGCATAGACCCATGTAAGATTCTATTAATCTTTACAGTGATAAACATGCTGTTAAGATAAAGCAAATTTGCTTGGAATTAAACAAGGACTCCAGAGTGAGTATCATTAGGGCCCCACAAAATGCAACTGCCCAGTTACAGTGTATGTCTGTCCATCAGCATTTTTGTTTCCAGACAATGTCAAAGAAACCAGAAGGCCAGATTTTCTGAAACTTAATATGATGTCAAACTGTTATGTGAAGATGTGAAAGAGGTGTTTAGAAGTTCCAAAGGTCAGATCAAAGTAACTTGCTTAAAACAAAACTGGATATATTATTTCATAAACACGTTATATCCAGCAGCCTTACAAAAGGCCAAATTCTTTGAAACATTGACTGCCAGGCGTATAGCAGGGAAACTTTTTCTGAGTAACCAAAAAGCCCAGGTCCCAACAGTTTAATGAATATTCCTTAATTTAAGGAAATCTTAACTCCCATTGAAAAGCATTACATAAGCTAAGGAGAACTTTAAATTTAAATTTCCTGAAATTATATATATGTAATGGTTTGCTATTTCTTTAAGTTGAGGAATTGGATTCATGAAACAGGAGCCGGGATGACAATATTTCACTTGTAGCATGCTGTAATAAAGTGTTACCATGTTTTTCAAATTAATGACCTTCATCCATATTCATGGTCACAGATCTCAAATATACAGTTGTAAGCAGCTTATGATGAATAACCAAGAGATATATAGTGTGATGATATTTGACCACCAATATACTGGTATGGAGCACAAGTCTGCTATATAAATGACCTTTTCTGCATTCAAGGTCTCTCCTAACTCCAAAAAAAATGTTTTCTCTTAATTCTAATAGAGCAAATGAACAATAAAGGTTATTGGGCCTCTTGATGGGTCACATAGGAACATTGCTTTGGAAGTGTAAATATACTATTTGCAAATTTGATTCTTGTAAGATTTATATGGTATGTTTTGCAGGAAACTGGATGGTTTGGCATGGAAATGTAGATGTAATAATCAACAATGAAGTTGTCATAGGATCCCAAGATGTTGAAGAAAAGGACTGCAGTCCTGGTGGGAAATCTCCAGTGGAAGGGAAACTTAAAAGTAACTCCTTGTCAAGAAATCCTCAGGTTATTGCCCAAAACATTGTTTTTTCATTCCTCCAAAAGCATAGACATCCTGAAAGTGAAAATTTCCTTTTTCCATGTATTGGAGTTACAGGTAAAGATATGATTGTATACTTTTATGATTCAATGCATGATGTGCTTCTTGAAAGCACATTGATTCCATTACATGGCATGATTCCATCTGCTGTTAGCAATATCAACTTAGTAGCAATTGTTGTATCATGGCTGGTTGTCAACTATAAGTACCTATGTGATGGTGTCATGGAAGAGATGAAAACAATGAAAGCAGAGTTTTTTTCACAAGCTGAAGCAAAGTTAGCTGTTTACAAATTTGACCTAAAGGCCGGTGATGTGGGAAATTCTTGTCCTATGGATGATTCTCAAGACAAAGTGAAAAATTTTCATCACCCATTTCTGATGGATTTGAAGAAAAGAAAGAGAATGGTTGTTCTGGAACCCAGCGAGAGATAACATTTTACTATTGTAGAAAAAACATGTGCAACATAAGAACTTACATGGCATTACTGTACCTAAAGCCATCCTTATTGGAGACCAACTTTATTGGTGTTATTGTGTGATAAAAGTTCCTCATCTTCGCTATACCAAGACATGAGAAATGTGTTTGATTGTGACATTTATAGAGGATCTTATGAGTGTCTATTTGACATGAAATTTATGAAATGAGTTCAACAAGCCTGTAGGCAAGGTGTTATATACAATGAGTTAAATTAGTTCCTATTACATTGGCTTATTTTAGCTTACCTGACCCAAAGTGTTATGTGAGCCTTTATATAATGCATGGCACAATATCCGTCAGTAATCTGTCAAAGTTTCCCTCTAGAACTCTCTTGTCCTTATAACAACTTTGGCCTAGAGTATCATTTGCCAGATTAATTTCTAAATTTGTATCAAAAGATATTTGGTCAAAAGGTTCCTTGGATGAAGCCCAACAAAATTTGCAAAAAATCAATTACCTTGATCATTGTTCAAGGTCGCGAGTCAATTCTATTAAAACCTTGAAATGACTTCTTCTGATTAACCAAAAGGCCTGGGATCATGATATTTGGTTAAGATATTCCATGGATGAAGCTTAAAAAGTTGACCTTGACCCATATTCAAGTTCACAGGTTGCAATTTGTAAAAACTTTTCTTATTAACCGAAAGGCCTAGGATCATGATATATGACCAAAATATTCCTTGCATGAAGCCCAACAGAGAGTGCAAAAAAAATTTACCTTGACCTATATTCAAGGTCACAAGGGTCAATGTTTCCCTTTGAATCTTCTAAGCTTGAAATAAGTTGAATGTACCCACTTTTATTTGCGACAGTGTTGATGTTTATGTATAAGTGAAGAACATTGAAAGCAGGTGAGTGATGCAGGCCCATTGCACCTCTTGTTAGAGGTGTCTCCTGAGAAAATAAGAAGTATGACAGAAGTAAGAAACAGCCTACAAAACGATGAAATATAGCACAAAATTCATGTTTTAGAGACTGAATGATTCCATCTGTCTTTATATATCATGCAAAAAAACGAATTATTTTAACAATTATCCCATCGGAAGGTTTTATCCAATTTTTCTTTTATATATATATATATATATACTAATGGACTGATAGGCTCTGTTAGCCTTGACTTTTGATTCTGTTATTATCAGTCGGTTAATTGGGCATGAAAAAAAACAACTTTGAACAAATCTTTTATTCATTGAAATGAATTCCTTTTTGAATAGATTTTATTAGAATTCTGATAAACTTTCCATATACCATTCAAACTTTAAAAATGGGAGGGGGCTTATTGCTGAATGTAAGTCTGATTCCAAAAGACTTCATAGAAAGTGTGTTATATATGTCTCTGAGTATACATAGTTGAAAATTATAAAGAATGAGCATCATGGTTGCAATGTTTTAAGGCAAAAGGTCAGAGTCTTAGCTAGTGGTTGAATTATGATAGTCTTTAAATTAATTTACTTCTGATAACAATCAGAATTAATGTCTTTTATTAAGCATATAAGTCAACATGTTTTCTTACAACCTGTTGCATTTGAATTTGTTCTTTACTGTGCCCAAGCTAATCAATGTGTTGTGTATGCCTAGTAATTGTCCGGGTTGCACAAATGCAAACCCTTGTTATAGTATGGCGAATGTCTAGCGGTTAGGTGAGGAAATAGGGTACCTGTTTTGTAGAATCAACTTATCCTACACTTTTTGATGCAGAACTGTGAAACTTTGTAGGATGTTTACGTATATATTGGAGATGTGCACTCTGCTGTGGATTCATTCGGAGAATTTTTGTGGATTTTACGGACATGGAAACTTGGTCATATTCTCAGCACTTTGTCTGTTTATCCGTCCGTCTGTTTATTCGTCCATTGTGTCCATCGGTCCATCCTGCCATCCAAACATTTTCCAAGGCACATATTATGGATTTTTTTCAGGGTTTCTTGATAAAAAACCAGACCATACTCACAAAATGAAGAGCCCATAACTGATTCATAATTAATACATGAAATATTCAATATGCTTTCACTATTCCGCAACCCGGCCAATTGTGGCTTTGCCTCACTTTTTGCTCTCCTGGTCAGAATGACCAAGGTGAGCTTATGCCATACCGTGGCGCCCGTCGTCCGTCTGTCTATCAACTGTCGACTTCTTCTCTGGAACCGATGATCAGAATTTCATCATATTTGGCATATTAGGCAGAAACTATCCCCAGGTCAGTGGGACTCAGATTTTTACAAATGATTGGGCTGACCCCCCGGGGGGCCTAAGGGGCAGGGCTAAAAACGGTCAAATTGGCTATATTTATATAATCAACTTCTTCTCTGGAAGCGATGATTGGAATTTCATCATATTTGGCAGAAAGTATCCCCAGGTCGCTGTGATTCAGATTTATACAAATGATTGGGCTGACCCCCAAGATGTATATACTGTTGGTCATAAGATCCAGGTGAGCGATTAAGGGCCTCTGGTTTTGGTACTAAGCCTCACAATACAGTGTTGATGAAATTTTTACTTCATATGTATAATTTTAACTTTACATATATGTGCATTTCTCGAGAGTTTATAGATCACATGGTCCAAACAAACAAAGTTATCTTTGCTGACTGTGCTATCCATCTGTTCATTGTCTGTTGGTCAACAATTTATTGAAATCCAATTCTTCTTCTTTACCACTGAATGGAGTTTGGCCAGCTTTGGCTAAAAGCATGCTTTGAAGGTGGGGATTAAAAATTATGATATGGGAGATTAGAGGTTGGAGCTAGAGTGGGTAATTGGCAATGTTGATTTAAGCATCTTCGCTGGAACTAAAAGAAAGCTATCAAGCATATTTGGCTGAAAGCATCCTTTGGAGCTGGCCTTTCAAAATTGTACAAATGGAAAGGTTGACTTCTCTGGAACACATACATACCATTTTCTGTCATATAGAACCAGGTGAGTGATATAGGGCCTCTCGTTCTATTCTCGGAGGCAGATTATTTTTACATACACTGAAATTTTTTACCTTTTTGTGAATACCTGTTATTTAACTTTTGATTAATCAAATTTACACTAGTATATTTTTATTCAGTATATGGTACAAAATATTGTATGCATGAATTTGTTTACTATTCTATTAACTTACTGCTTAATCAAATTATGAATCGTTTACAACTACAAGAAATTATACAACATAATTATGTCAAAATCTACCTTTAGATTTCTTAATCTATAATGAAATGCATGTTGTTATTTTTATGTTAACAGAAACCATTTGCACAGAATAATATATTAATGTTATTTGGCATTGATGAAGCAGGCCATATATATGCATATTACAGCTCATTGATAATCTTACAAGCCATGTGCGAATCGGAACAACAATTTCTATAATGAATAAAGATGTCTCCATATTCTTTTATGTAACATTTTTTGTTGTGCCAAGGTCTCAATGACAATAATCCTTCCTGTACCTTGCTAAATAATTTGATCAAAAGAAGTATTTAAAGACTGATGGACAGCTGACAGACCATGAACAAAGGTGATTTGAATCATATGATGATGATAGGCTAAAAATCTGCCTGTAAAGTGTGAGTGATATAATATTCCCTATTACCTGTGACATACATGTCCACGTGGACTTGTCACAATCTATTTATCTATACAATAAGTCCCCAACCATCAAAACTCATTAATCAATAACAACACTAAATTTCGTAAAAAGTTGAATAAAATTTAATTTATTACGTTTGCTGTACAATTTTATATAGTGTTATTGTCCATTCAATACAGATGATGTGAACACACTTATCACTGAGATTCATGAGCCCAAGTTGTATTTTGCATGGGTATATATTGTGATTAATTGTGTAATCATATTCACAAACATTACTGATGACTAGTCATTATATTAAGCATGATATTAATTACACAAAATGAGAGATATCATCCAATGAAAGAGTTTCATTGATTAATATTTCTTATTCAAATTGAAGACACTGGTGTTTACCATTAGTGTGATTTGATGACAATGCGTACAATTATCATGTGTTTTCATGTTTCCGATTTATCAAAGGTACATTCAGTGTTGGCTATGATCGACATCAGCTCATCGATAGGTGCAGGTTTTAGGTGAAACCTGTCAGACAAATGCCAAATTAATTTTCGCAAAAAACATTTATTGTAAATAACAGAATTTATAAATCCAAACATCAGAATAACTAAGACAAATTATTCTTTTATCTATTTATGTAACCTCAGATGGTGATCGCCAAGATCCCTCTGGAATGCTTTGCACATTGCACAAATCTTTTCCATTAAACTTAAATCTTTATGTGTACAAAAACAGCTTATTTTGAATGCAAGGACAATGTGACTGTTGGTCATCAATTTCTGAAAGATTTTCTTTTATCATACAGTACATAGCAGTTAACATCTAAATACTAGTCATTCCACGACAACTATTAGACTTGTAAGATGGGCCAGTACATTAAAGAAGTGGTTGTCTACTTTGTTGTTTGCATGGAGTGATGGGAAGTGAACCTCTTACAAATAAAGTACCATTTGCGCGAGGTTCACTTTCCTTCATCACTCCATGCCAGCAACAAAATAGAAAATCAGTCCTTATATTCACATTAACCTGTTTAGGAATTCCATCTCTCGAACACACTTTCTGTTGACCCTACAGTATAATGGATTGTCATTTGGTAACATTGTTGCAGTTATTGTACATATGTGCACATATAGGGAACAGCTGCTAGCTTCATTCATCACTAGGCAACAATGAAATATTGTTCCAAGACACAATAGAAGACTTTTGTTTTCAGGGAATAGGAAATCCGATTTTATAATAAACAAGTTCCCAAAGTTTTTTATGCCCCCGCCACAAAGTTTATCTGTTATAGAGATCACACTCTACAGCGGGAGGAGTTGATTTGTTATAGAGGTCACACTCTACAACGGGAGGAGTGTATTTGTTATAGAGGTCACACTCTACAACGGGAGAAGTGTATCTGTTATAGAGGTCACACTCTACAGTGGGAGAAGTGTATCTGTTATAGAGGTCACACTCTACAGTGTGAGGAGTGTATCTGTTATAGAGGTCACACTCTACAACGGGAGGAGTGTATCTGTTATAGAGGTCACACTCTACAACGGGAGGAGTGTATCTGTTATAGAGGTCACACTCTACAGTGTGAGGAGTGTATCTGTTATAGAGGTCACACTCTACTACGGGAGGAGTGTATCTGTTATAGAGGTCACACTCTACAACGGGAGGAGTGTATCTGTTATAGAGATCACACTCTACAGCGGGAGGAATGTATTTGTTATAGAGGTCACACTCTACAACGGGAGAAGTGTATTTGTTATAGAGGTCACACTCTACAGTGGGAGGAGTGTATCTGTTATAGAGGTCACACTTTACAGCGGGAGGAATGTATCTGTTATAGAGGTCACACTCTACAACGGGAGGAATGTATCTGTTATAGAGGTCACACTCTACAGTGTGAGGAGTGTATCTGTTATAGAGGTCACACTCTACAACAGGAGGAGTGTATCTGTTATAGAGATCACACTCTACAGCGGGAGGAATGTATTTGTTATAGAGGTCACACTATACAGCGGGAGGAGTTGATTTGTTATAGAGGTCACACTCTACAACGGGAGAAGTGTATCTGTTATAGAGGTCACACTCTACAGCGGGAGGAATGTATTTGTTATAGAGGTCACACTCTACAACGGGAGAAGTGTATTTGTTATAGAGGTCACACTCTACAACGGGAGAAGTGTATTTGTTATAGAGGTCACACTCTACAACGGGAGGAGTGTATCTGTTATAGAGGTCACACTCTACAACGGGAGGAGTGTATTTGTTATAGAGGTCACACTCTACAACGGGAGAAGTGTATCTGTTATAGAGGTCACACTCTACAACGGGAGAAGTGTATCTGTTATAGAGGTCACACTCTACAACGGGAGAAGTGTATCTGTTATAGAGATCACACTCTACAACGGGAGGAGTTGATTTGTTATAGAGGTCACACTCTACAACGGGAGGAGTGTATCTGTTATAGAGGTCACACTCTACAACGGGAGGAGTGTATCTGTTATAGAGGTCACACTCTACAGCGGGAGGAGTTGATTTGTTATAGAGGTCACACTCTACAACGGGAGGAGTTGATTTGTTATAGAGGTCACACTCTACAACGGGAGGAGTTGATTTGTTATAGAGGTCACACTGTACAACGGGAGGAGTGTATCTGTTATAGAGGTCACACTCTACAACGGGAGAAGTGTATCTGTTATAGAGATCACACTCTACAGCGGGAGGAGTTGATTTGTTATAGAGGTCACACTCTACAACGGGAGGAGTTGATTTGTTATAGAGGTCACACTGTGTATCTGTTATAGAGGTCACACTCTATAGCGGGAGAAGTGTATCTGTTATAGAGGTCACACTCTACAGTGTGAGGAGTGTATCTGTTATAGAGGTCACACTCTACAACGGGAGGAGTGTATTTGTTATAGAGGTCACACTCTACAGTTGGAGAAGTGTATCTGTTATAGAGGTCACACTCTACAGTGGGAGGAATGTATCTGTTATAGAGGTCACACTCTACAACGGGAGGAGTGTATCTGTTATAGAGGTCACACTCTACAGCGGGAGAAGTTGATTTGTTATAGAGGTCACACTCTACAACGGGAGGAGTGTATCTGTTATAGAGGTCACACTCTATAGCGGGAGAAGTGTATCTGTTATAGAGGTCACACTCTACAACGGGAGGAGTGTATTTGTTATAGAGGTCACACTCTACAGTGGGAGAAGTGTATCTGTTATAGAGGTCACACTCTACAGTGGGAGGAATGTATCTGTTATAGAGGTCACACTCTACAACGGGAGGAGTGTATCTGTTATAGAGATCACACTCTACAGCGGGAGAAGTGTATCTGTTATAGAGGTCACACTCTACAGCGGGAGGAATGTATCTGTTATAGAGGTCACACTCTACAGCGGGAGAAGTGTATCTGTTATAGAGGTCACACTCTACTACGGGAGGAGTGTATCTGTTATAGAGGTCACACTCTACAACGGGAGGAGTTGATTTGTTATAGAGGTCACACTCTACAACGGGAGGAGTGTATCTGTTATAGAGGTCACACTCTACAGCGGGAGGAGTGTATTTGTTATAGAGGTCACACTCTACAGCGGGAGGAGTTGATTTGTTATAGAGGTCACACTCTACAACGGGAGGAGTGTATCTGTTATAGAGGTCACACTCTACAGCGGGAGAAGTGTATCTGTTATAGAGGTCACACTCTACAACGGGAGGAGTGTATTTGTTATAGAGGTCACACTCTACAGTGGGAGAAGTGTATCTGTTATAGAGATCACACTCTACTGCGGGAGGAGTTAATTTGTTATAAAGGTCACATTCTACAGTGTGAGGAGTGTATCTGTTATAGAGGTCACACTGTACAGCGGGAGTAGTGTATTTGTTATAGGGGTCACACTCTACAAACTGGTCTGCAATTGAAAACGAGGGGCACAGGTTAAGTGTCGAGGAATTCGCCATATCCTTAAAATCGATATTACTATATGAATGAGCACATGAATTTCAGACATATGTTTCACCGCCTCTGCTGCTGATCGAACCCGGGACCCCTGGCTTACTAGTCTGACGCTCAACCGATCGAGCTTAAGAGAAGTTCTCCCTACCCGAGAGGTATATTGCGACTGGTATTTACCAGGGTTACATATATAATATATATGTATTTTCTATATTTTCTTGTAAAATTGCTTCCCTATGGCAAAAATTTTCTCGTTGTATCAGCAGTTGCAGATTTCATGGCGGTTGGGAGTTATACCCAGGTGAAGCATATCCAGGTTCGATGTCTGAAATCATTATGTTCCAGTTTTTCATTCTTTTTTTTTTTTTTTTTTTCCCTCTATATTACTTAGTTAATTGTTCAATATGAAAATCTCATCATTTACAGCATTGTTTCTTAAAATACTTTGTTTTATCAAAATCAGTCATGTCCCGTCCATGTATTAAGTTCTGCAACTATTTTTTGCTCGCGCATGCGCTATACTCACAAAGTCACATGAAAACGGTCACAAATGAAAAAGCCACACCGGCTACAGCGTACACCAGTGATAGCCGACACGAAAGAAAGATGGCGGGTTTTGCGTCCAAAATTTCGCATTTTGATGTCAATATGGCATCTCTACAACGTACAAGACATGACAACCTTTAGATCTTGTGATTTCGGCATAGTTATTCAGGTACCCATTAGAGACGACAGCGTGTATCAACTGAACAGGGAAATTGTTTACCTGGCCATTTTTACATATATATACGAGTTCATCAAATCATAATTTGGCCAATACGTGGCTTACCTCGTTCATCAAGAC